AACTTCATTGCTCCCCAAAGTATATGGTCCGCTGCTTTCCACTTCCAACAACTATCTGTATGGTAATAAATTACCTAATTCTACAATATGTATGGCAATAAATTATCTTTTTGTAGCCACAGATCTTTAAACACTTTCATAAATAATTGGATTAACAATTACAGTACTAACTTGTAGCCTTAGTAAATTAAGACAAGCTATTGCTAGACATTCCTTTTCCTTTAACGTCGCTGTGCTAGTTTGATCCACTGCAATTTTTAACAATCTCTCCAATAATCTGAAAATAAGAATAAACACATTGTTATTCCAATATTATCTCTCTTCTAAATTCTAAATAATGTGATAATAAACTTACGTAAACGTGTTATCTGATAAATCTATCACAAAAGGCATCGAAGACGGTAAATCTCGTGGATTTTCTTCGCTCCATGCGATTATTTGTGTAGCACTACTTGAAGCACCTACAAACAAAATTAAACATTAACCTGTTAGCTTAAAGCGTAAAATTGATAACACTAAATACAGATTAAATAATTACCATTAGCTTTAAAAGAGGAGTTAAAGACTTGCAACAGTTGCGGCGCCGGTCGCCGCATGTTGGCGCGCTCGTGCGTGCCCCACGCGTACAGCGCGCCCTCTGACGTCAGCGCTATGCCGTGCGACGCGCCCAACGACAAGTCTATCACATTCACACCTGGAAATAATACATGTATTTAACTAGCTCTTGCTTGCGACTTCGTCCACGTGAAATTCAAAAATATATGTCTTTGTTACTCATCGACAACGTAGCTTTTTAGTGGTGAAAGAATTTGAAATTGGGCCAGTAGTTTTTAAGTTATTTCAATACATACAAAAATGTAAATCTTTCGCCTTTATAATATTAGTTACATATATTAAATAAATAACAACACAGTTAGATATCTACGTTTGTACTTACTAAATAGAAATGTTATGATGACTTTTATTATGTAATGATGATGAACATACCTTGAAGACCTTCCACTAGCTTAGGTTCCTGAACCGAGTCTGCATTACCATGACCAAGGCGATGTCGTTCACCTTTGCCCCATGTGTATACTTGGCCACTAAGAATAAAGAAAATTAGACAAAAAGGAAAGAGACGACAATTTATTTAATCCGTTATATTACATACGTGTCAGTGAGGACAGCATGCCAGTGCTCGCCGGTGTAGACACGCGTGATGCGGAACATGCCGAGCGAGGAGAGCGCGCGGGGCGCCCCGCTCTCGCCCTCGCCGAACACTTGCACCGCGCCCTCCAGCGTGCAGCACAGCGTCTGACTCTCACCCCAACCTTCATACAAACACTATATATAACTAATGTTAAGAAATCGGTATAATGCCGGAGTAGCGGCGCAACACTAGATCATTGGCATACACGCCCCGTCCCTATGACATCTGACAATGTCAAGCAGAAGTTTTACGGATTAGCTGTCGCACGCGACTTCGTCCGCGTGAAATCAATACATAATAACAAAATTTATATACATCCTGTGTTACTTGCTGATACCATAGCTTTTCAATTGTGAAATAATTTTGAAAGCCCAGCAGTTTCTATGTTATTGCAATACATACAAAAATACAATTTCCTCTTTTTGGTGTTAGTAAATATAAGAGCACCAATCCTGTCGATAATCGGTAGACTGGATATCAAAGTATAAATATGTTGTTACAATGATATTGTCTAAAACTAGCGATGCCAAAAGTATTTGCAATAATAAAATGATGTAATTTAAGGTTTCTATTCCTTCAAACTTCTATAGTAATGCTGTCTCACCTAAGGCAACGTCAACAATTCGTTCGATGTTATGTGCGTTGAAGGCGACAGGCTGCGGCGTGAGGCAGTTCTCGACAGTGCCGTGTCCGAGGCGGCCGTGTGAGCCGCGCCCCCACGTGTACAGCGCACCGCGAGATGTTATCACAGCACTATCAACAAAACAAAACATTACACACAAAATCAACACTAAATGTTTCCGCGGCTTCTTCCGCATATCTTAAAAACTTCATGTTCACATTCCGAAAAACTTTTAGTCGCAAATGTCAAAATTTTTGGATTCCATGACAATTTTGTCCATTTTATTCACCCCAAAAATTGAGCAGCTTGAAAACATATATCCTATAGCGTATTAAAAGTGTAGGGGTTTTTATCAAAGAAAGAACTGTCAATGAAAATATGCTGTAATTGATGACATTCTACATAACAGTGTGTGTTTACGTTTTATGATATTCGTATAGATATAGATAGATTAAACCATATCTTAGCAATGGCCTAGAGCTTAGTTAGAACTGTAAAAGAAATATTAGTAAATTAACAGAAATCTACAAAAAAAAAGAAAACAAACAGACAGATTATGGCTCTGATGAAAGGTACAAGGGTGATTGTACACACCTGCAAGCAAATCCAGCATACACTCTGATGACTTCATGGTGTGCCAGGTGGTGTATGGCGGCGGGCGCGTCGCGGGGCGCCGTGTCGCCGTGCCCCAGCCGGCCGTCCTCGCCCGCGCCCCACGACCACACGCCGCCGCACGCGGAACAGCACAGGAAGTGTCTCCCCGCACCGTGACACGCCACTTCTATTATCGTCTTATTCTCCAAACCTATAAGTATTGCTTGCTAGATTCACATGGAAAATAATGAATCTTACTAATATTAAATGCGAAAGTCTACATGGATAAATGTTCGTGAGAGTTAGACTAATCGGCTGAACGGATCTTGATGACATTTGACATAGACGTAGAGGATAGTCTGGAAGAACACATAAGCTACTCACTTTTGTTTTTTTTTTTAAATTCCATGCGGACGTATTTGTGAATAATAGCTAGTCAACAATAAAGGGCACTTATTCTTAAAATTATCGGGAAAATTATAGTATTCGGCTCGAAGGACCATTATATCATTAAATTTCTGTAACACTAAACATTTAATACTATTTTAACGTACCTGGAACTAAATGTGGTGTTAAGCTATCGTAAGGTAATGTATAGACATCACCATCATGAGTCAACAGTAGAGCCAGTTTCTCAGCACACGCTACTTGCTGTATTCTTAGGCTGCCAAGTTGTATAGGACCAGAACCAATAGCAATCACTTCCTGTGCAGACTCTGTACACTGTAAAAAAAAAAAACAAAAATTGAATCACAGTGCGACATTAAAACAATGCTAGATGAACACTCACAGAAAAGAGTTTACTTATGTTTCTTTTAAATAACTTACAGTCACAAAACCCTTTAAAGGTGGCAGCAAAGGAGCACCAAGTCTATCCAGGTGGCACAGTAAAGCGACACCAGCCTTCCTCACCTCCATTAAACCATCACCACTTGGTATTGTAAGTTCTCTGTAATATAAAACTAATGATATAGGTTTTTACTCTTTTTTCGATAGTGTTATTCTTTTTTTTTTATAAACTTACTTTAAATATAACTCAGAAGAGTTACTGTCCACTGTTGGTTCATTATTAACAACTGGATTAGGGGCGACTACCTTCGCCATTCGTCTCAAAAACGGTCCAAGTGGTGCTGTGCATTCTTCCAAGACAATTCTAAAAGTAGAAAAAACTATTACTCAAATGCAATATCTATCTTTAAGGAATTTTTATAGCAATCAACATATTTTATAGAGTGTCCCATTATTGGCATCAAAAAATTACTTTATCATCTCATTATATTAAAAAGTAACGAGTTAAAAATAAACCTGTTATCAGGCAGTCGTTTCTGGCGCGGCGGTAGTGTGACGAGGACGTCAGCCGCCTTCAGCAGCGCGGGCAGCTCCGCGCGGCGCGCGCACAGCTCCACCCACACGCATAGCGACGTGCGCCAGTCGCCCATCGGCACATTGCAACCAACCTCACTGCCCGAAGTTATTAAAAAATACACCTAGTATTCATTATGTTTTCCGTATATTCAAAAGCTATAGCAAACTAGCTGTTACACGCGACTCCATTCACGTGGAATAAAAACAAAAATGATTAAGTACCCTATGTGTTCTTAAAAACTATGCTATAAGCCAAATTCCGTTGATATTTGTTTAGCCATTTAGGAGTTACCTTATAACAGACATCTATTCAAACAGACAAATTTTCGATTTTATAACATAAGTAAGACTGCAACATTTAGAATGATAACAGACAACTTTTCGTCATACAAGTCTATTTAAGCAAGAAACAAATTTTGTAATAAAGTAAATTTAACAATACAATACCCAACAACAACTTGATGTAGGAATTTAGCAGCACTGTCAACAACTTCAGCCCAGATCTTCTGTGAGCGCGGCGCTTGCGTCGAACCGAGACCAGTGCCCGCGTACAGTGCCGCGTCGGGTAACGCACGCACCGCGTCCAATGCGTCGCGGAGCAGAGCTGAGCACACGTCGGCGTCCTCACCGCAACGCCATGCACGACGCACCAGCGATAGTGCCAGTCTTAATGCTGCACGCGCTCCCACGCGAGCTAATCCTAGTGCGCTGAAAAGTTAGTGAACACTAAATTAGCAGAAATCAAGACACAAATCTGATAGTAACAATTAATTTATAAGTCTTGAGTTCAATTAGTATTGAATTGGTTTAAATAATACCTCTCAGACTCATCAGAATGTTCTTCATTATCGTCTTGCCCAACAGATGTAATTTCAGTAGATTTTAGAGTGTTTACAACATCATTGAGTGCTCTATTGCTAATTGTATGAGATGGTTTCTTGTCTACTTTGACTTTTTTCACATCTTTGTTTTGTGTCTGTTCCCTGTAAAATATCAATTATTACAACATATTCCACTTAAAAATTTGTAACAAAATCTAATTCTAATATTAAACTTATTGCAATACAACATTATAAAAATGTCTTATTAGACATTTTCCTAATAAAGCCTATACATTCATTTTAATCCAAGATATGTAAACTAAAGTTACTTTATTAAAGTTTTATATTAAACCATATTACCTTATAACTGCTACTAAATGTCTATGGCAGAGAACAATGAGTCGTCTGATCTGAGATATAATTGGACAACTGGTAACTGTGTTAATAGCTTTCATACGCTGCTCCCAAATCATAGACTCCATTAAATTCTGCAGACATTCTGGACCTTAATAAAAGAATTTTAAACATTTACTATTTTAATTAATTTACAGCTTAATGTTATTAAAAATGATGATAAGTTTTACAAATTTCAAAATATTACATCTGACCAAAATTATATTGTTCATCTATTTCTTCATGAAGTAATTTATTGTTAAAGTGATTTTGATATTTAAATATTTAATCTACCTTCCACAAATTTAAACTGAGGCTGTCAATAAATAAATACAGACTTTGTAAAGTAAAATTCAATACAAGTAAATAAATAAATTATATTCTACTTTGTTCAAGTATACCTGGCTCTTGTTTCCATTTGATACCATCAATGACCCAAACAGATGATGGTGGGGCTACTAACTTGGTTTCCAAAGCAAGACGTCTCTCTTCATCTGATGAGAGTACAGTGCAAGACGTGCAAGCACATCCCGAATGGGGTCCACAAAGTCCATCACAACAGGTGCAAGTAAGGTTCTAAAATATATCAAATAATATATGTTAAATATTCATCAAACTAGTGTATAATCCTACTTCATTAACATACCCTAAGACCGCAATAATATTTGCCACTGTCCCCTAGTTTGGCTGTTATTCCAGACGCGTTCACTAGACCATCTCTTGCTTCAAAATATATTTCACGGTCTTGGGCTAGACTATTGTATAATAAGTTAAGAGATACGGAGTCGTGGAGAGCATCTTGTAAATCAGGGTTTAACCATTTGGCATCCAAATGATGTTGTGGGCGAAAAATATATTCATCTGGGTAATCCTCCGAATCAGACATTTCCGTTCTGGCTAGGGTTAATCCATTAAAGAAATTCTAAATGGTACACGTGACAACATAGTGTGTATCTCTATGAAACGAAACATAAAAGCGGTTTGAGATATTTCATTTTGAAATAATACAAAGGAAGCAATTATTTCAAAATAAATGTTAGTTATTTAATTGTACTGAGAAAAGTAATCAATCGAAGACTTAAAACAAACTGTCAAACTCAAACGTCAAATTGATCTCAAAGAATACATTATCTTTTTGTAAATAAATTCAACTTTTGTCTGGTCGGATTTTCGAAAAACTTTCTGATTTTGAGAAAATCTCTAGACTCGATTCATTTTCCCATTTTGCGGAATTTTCAATTAAATATATTGTGTAAAGATGACATGAACCTTTTTTAACTTCAATCTTGTTTAATTATTTTTTAAATAAAACTCAATTTCGATGTTTGAGTACTCTTTGGTTCAGATGTCCATATTATGTCAAATCTCAAAACTGTCACCTGTCAAAGTCAATCTGCGAGTTGCGAATGGCGTGTTTCATCAATTTCGTTGTATTTCTATAAATTTATAAATAAGGGATTTTCACTTATAAAAACTTTTACGAAAAACCCGCTTCGATGGATACAGATATTCTATTAGGAAATAAGGACTGTCTTTATGGTAATTACAGTAAAATTATAAATATCTAAAACCGGGGATAAATGAAAACAAAGTTCGATAATATAGACAGACGTGGTATTGTTATTGTATTGGTTAAGTAATTACAAGGCGTAGATCATTATCGCTGTCCTTGTATTCAACTTTCGCCTTTTATTGAAACATTTAATTCTTAACTCATGCCTTGTTTTTCGGAATAATAATCCTATGTTTATAGAGAATAGTTAATTATTACGTTTTTGTATATTAACAATACATTTGGCTACAAATTTTCTATAGTAATCTTTGTTGCAGATACTGATTTCATTGATCATTTCACAAACGAATATCAGTGGTCATCATTACTGGATGCAGCTGATGCATCGCCCAGTGAAATCCTTGCAGAGGCGGCTTCTATATTTGTGCCGCCTATATCACCTATTTTAAGCCTAAAATCCACACCTAATGAAAGCAGTAGTTCGGATTCAGGCAGTGAAGATGATTCAAAAAAGTAAATATATATTTGTATAGTTTTCACACTCTTTTTCTTATAAATTTTAAACTAAAATCTGATTTGAAGTATCTAATATCAGATCCAGATGCTCTAACCCTGGTTGACATTTTAATCAGCAATGTCTAATGTATTAAAATATTTTGGTTAAAAAAAGGGAGGCTATTCTACAAAGGAGATTAAAAGTCAAATTGAGTTACCTCTACTATCTTTTATGCCCCATAGATGAGAAAAGGGAAGGTAAAAAGAAATTTCCATAGCTGTCTGTAATTTAATTTGTTGTGCGAATTTAATTCAATCTTCCCTATCCTTCTAGATATTAAGATTTAAATCTAAAAAAACTGATTAAATTATGAATTGATTGTATTGTAGTTCCAGTAATGCATCTGCTAGACAATCTTCATTATCACCTTTGGATTGGACATTTGATGAGGACTCATGTAACTTAAAACTAGAAGATGTTGAACAGTTTCTTCAAAAACCAGGTGAACATTTAATAATTGATATATTATTCCTAATATAATAGGCTTCTTTTGAGTAAATGGTAAAAAAACATTCATTCTGATATTACTAAGTAATTTTAATAGTAGTTGAAATAACAATGTAATAATATATTTCTTTTTTTAGCTCCAAGTGATACAACAGAAAATCATACAGTCTGTCCACCGAACATACAAGAGAAAAATGTTCCTGTTATGGCTATTGAGAATGGAGTCATTAAGGTCCTTATTACTTAACATATATGTCTATAACTATCAAAATAGTTTATTTATGTTGATTTTTTTTTATACAGGGTGTAGAAAATGAAGCAGTTGTTGAACATAATTATATAACTGCAAAGGATGGTACATATTTCTTATTATTATTTTAAAGTGTTTTAAAAAAAACAGGGTAGCATTTAAATATGTTAAAATTTACAGAAAATGATTCAGTTCAAAATGCATACTTCAAAGTTGTTAATGAAAATTCATCAATCAATACAAAAAAGGAGGAAAAACATGTTATGGTTATGGAACAGAAAAGGATACCTATTATATTAAAAAAGCAACAAATAATTAACATTAAGCCACCTAATATTGTGATACCTACAGAAAGTTCAAAGGGGAAAATCGTAATTTCTCCATTGCCTCAAACAAATCTTGCAGGTGACAAGAAAGTTAATGGTTACCCAATTAAGGTAAATTTAGTGAAATTGTAATTACGAAAAATATGTTCTACTAGGTTTTACCCATTTGTATCCACACAGAACTAAAAATTAACCAAAAAACCTGTGTTGAATTTCATCCAAATTCATTCACTTGTTTTGGAGTTTAGCAAGCATTCATCTATCTGTTTTAATTTCCACATAAAGTAAAACACACTTTAATACCTTTTTTAAAATAAGATCAATACCTTTTTACATTAATACTAAATTTTTCATTGAATAATTTTAGGTTTTTTTAATAGTAAAAAATGACTTAGTGCTAATTATCATGTTGAAATTCATTACAGTTGGCAACACCTCAAAAGAATGTTATTATAAGTCCTAAACTGGAAGTAGCTTGTGATAGCACATTAGTACAAAATGGCACCAAACCAATGGATACAGATAATATAGCTTCTAATGTAGATTTAACAAATTTAAGTGATGCAGAAATAAGGGCTATTAAGAAGCAACAGAGGATGATTAAAAATCGGTAAAATTAAAAACATTTTTATCTATAATTCTAATTATTTTCACTCAATTTTATTACTAAACTTGCTTTCACCCGCGACTCCGTCCGCGTGAATTAAATAAACTAAAGTGAGTGGCCTGTGTTCATCCAGATTATTCTCTAGGTCTGTGCCAAATTTCATCTAAATCTGTTCAGCCGTTGAGGTTACAAACTCTAACAAACATCCATCCATCTATCTATACTTTTAAATTTATAATATTAGTAAGAAGTAAGAAGTTAGCTTTCTAGTACAATATCTTTAATGGTTATCTAATTTACGATGTTTTAGACATATATTGTAACATTGCAACAAATGTTTTAAATTGCAATTAGTATATTGTGTAGCCTCTTGGTTAGGCTTTCATAAAGATATTTAAATAAATTACAATACTACCCAAAAAAATTATTCCATATTTTCTATAACAAGGGTTTAAAAATTTGTTTTTATTACTCAGTGAGTCAGCATGTCAGTCTAGACAGAAAAAGAAAGAATATGTAACAGCATTAGAACAGCAGCTGTTGGAGGCGCAGCAGGAAATTCAGAGGTTACGTTTGGAAAATAAACTGTTACGGGATCAATTGGATAATAATGGGCGATTTCGTAAGGTGAGAATTAATCACATTTGAATATATTTTTTTAATTTGAATTAAAAATGTGAATAAGTTATGTTTGTTTTAGATACCTCGACTGGATACTTCGATATTGATACCAAAGAAGAACATTGCGGTGTTGTTTGCTATGGTATTTATGGTGTCACTTAACTGGAATGTTTTAGGGTAAGCAATTATTTGTTAAATATCAAGTTAATAAGAAATGTTTAAAACAAATATACAAACATACTAATACAATAAAGTCAGATAGAGACGCAGGGGAATAGGTAGTACCATTATAAAAGGGAAAGATTTGACAGATTGTTTGCATTGAATAGCCTCTGAAACTACTGAATCGATTTTAAAAATTAATTTACGGTTGGGAAGTTACATTATGATGGCAAAGGGTTATTATTGTAATTAATTCTGCGCTACTGCGTCGCTACTAGAGTCGCGATCAATAGCTAGTTCATAATAATTTACATGTGTTGTCGTGAAGATTATTAAATAGCATTGTTTTTCAGATGGAGTAGTACTACGCCGTTTGTTGGTCTGAAATCACAACACACGTCGGCGTCACGACATTTATTGTGGGCTGAGGATAACACTGACACAATGGCCGGTAAGATTTCTATAGAAATATAACACACTAACTGTCGCTCGCTACGTTGTCTGCGTTAAAAAAATAAAAAAGTAGCCAAATTTTTAGTCGTGAAAGAATTTTTAAAATCGGCCAGTAGTTTTTGGGTTATTCCAATACATACAAAAATAGAAATTTTTACTCTATAATGTTAGTATAGATAATATAAATTATTATTTATGTGACTGGTATTTTTATTATGATTTATCATTTCAGATTATGATCAACTTGTAAATCGAAATAATGATAGCGATTGCCAAAATAGTACTATGACGGAATTTCAAAATATAAATCAAACGGAAAGTATTAGAATAGCGGGAGAATTGAAACGTTGGATCGGCGGCGATCGAAACTGGACTAAACACAAGCAAACCGATGGCAAAGTATATCCCAGTGCTGAAGAAATACGTGGTAACGAGTCGATACTTTGTTCTAAACTTTATCACTGTCAATATCTAGATTTCTCTACGCTATTTTGTCTGCGTGTAATTAAAAAAATAGTACTTTGTATGTTCTTCCAAACTATGTTCTACGTCAGAGCTAAATTTCATCAAGATTTATTAGTGTTTGTAGTAACAAGCAAATCAACTAAAACTATCGAATTTATAACATTAGTATGATGTGTCACATTATAAGGCAAAACGTATGTTACTATTTTTTTTTATTTTGTTATAAATGTCAGTTTCATTATGTTTATTTTTATTTCAGCTGGTCTATTTGAAACATATGGAATATTTAATAAACTGCACTTAGATAACAATTTATTGGAATTCCCAAATATTGATAAGAATACAGAAAGAAGTCCACGTCAAAAATTACGTATGCGCCGTGTGAAAAGAAGCAAAGATGTCGAATTTCCTAACAATAGTGTCTACGACTATAGTAAATTGTATCACAAACCGATACGGAAAATTGACGACTTTAATGTTGATTTCGGTGAATGGAACGCGTTGCTGCAGGCGCTGCAGAGGCGAGACGACACG